GTCGGATCCGCGCCCTCGCAGCCACAGAGGCTCCCGGGTGGCGGCTCCAGGCGGCTCCAGGTGCCGCGCCCGTCCTTAAAGCGACAGCGCGACCCGGGCCGGCAAGGTTTGGGGTTTCCCAGCGTGCAGGGAGCGGCGGGACCGCTGCTAACCGGCACCTCTGTGGAACTGTCGGGAACCGGCTGACCCTGAGGCCGTCCAGCCCCCTGCTACGCCACCGGGGCGAGCTCAGTCTGCGAAGGTTCTGGAGTCCTGAGCGCATGTCTCCTCACTCCCATTTTACAGGAAGGGAAACTGAGGCCCAAGTAGGGAAGGTCCCTTGCCAGTTTACCGCATATTCCTTGACAACTGGCTCTTTCTTCGTCATGACATTTAATCTGAGAGCAAGGTCTCCCCGGCCCTCCAGACCCTCACACCCTGAGGAGGAAGGCATTCTCAGAAGTAATGGCCAGCATTTAAGTACTTTCCCAGCCTCTGCAGGAGGGAGGTCACTGCCCCAGACAGCGAAAGGCCTGGAGAGCAGGGCTTGAGAGCAGGGTGTGACCTAACTTCTCTGAACCTTCTTCCTCCGGTGTCAGAGGAGGGTTGAGGATCCCAACTCACAAGTCTTCTGGGATTGAATGAGTTAAGCAGTACAGGTTAAGAGTTCAGCCTTTCACAAGTGCAGGCTGGAGGCAGATTTTGTGGACAGGGGATTTAGGGGCCTGGAGGAAGGGTCAGCGTGTGTGTACATGTGCGTTCTCTGTGGGAAGACACCTGAGTTGTAGAAGGTAGGAATGGATAGGGCGGCAGCATCCACGCTGAAGGAGCAGCTTGTGCAAAGGCCAGACAAAGTCCAGTGGGTTAACCTTGACAAATTCATGTGAGTCAAAGGGAGCCAGTTCCAGACCAGCTGGAGTCTGGGTTTTGTTTATGTCTCTTCTTGCTGCTCCAGCAAACCATTGCACTGGGCCAGATTCCCCTTAGCCATGGCCAAGGATTCTTCACCAAACTGGTGGTGACCAACTCCCCACTCAGCCTAGGGACACAGAGGGTTAGAGCAACCTGTCCAGTGGAGATCTGAAACTCACAGAGGGAAAACCATTGTCTCAGAGTCACAGAGCAGGTCAGTGGCAGGGCCCAGGCTCCTACTTCTTAAATTCCTTGTCTCTGAGGTTATATGCCACCCCTAGTGTTCTCTGAGCACCGACTCCCATGACCCCGCTGACTGGTGAGGTCTTTTATGTTATCTCATTTCATCTTCACCGTGTTTGGGGTCTGTGTAGGTGTTCCCATTTTACAGACAGGAAACAGGCTCAGAGAGGGGCAAATCTAAAGAATTCACAAGTGGTTGAGCTGAGACAGGGACCAGGTAGACCTCAAGCCAGAGCTCTGCTCTGCTCAGTCCGGAGGTGGGGACAAGCAGCCCTCTTGGGGGCCTTGTGGATCTGCTCAGGGGAAATGTGAGTGGGGAGCAGAGGGCCATGGAGCTGTCAGCCCTGCTCATTTCTGCAGGGGCCAGCCCCCATGTGGACATGGGCCCCTCAATGATCCAGACTCCCCTTCTCCTTCCTGCCAGTAGACCCAGGGTCACAGGTCACAGAATGGTGAAGTTGAGGTCCAGGCCTGGCCACACCCCAACCCTGCTTGAATCCGAGTCCCCTGGCCCAGGCTGAACACTCAGGCCCTGTAGTTGGCTAGTTGTGACTTCTGTCCTGACTCAGCCACTTCCAGGCCGGAAGACTCTAGCCATATCCTTCTCAAGCTGCCGTTTCCTTGTCTATAAAATGGAGGCCATGGTACCATGCTCCCAGGGTAGCTATGGAGGCTTAATAGTTTAATAAGACCTTTTCCATGAGGAGCTGGCCTGAGTATGCTCTTGCAATACACAGTGGCTCCATTTGTGAATCTCCCCAAGGATGGTGTCCTCCTTGAGGTCAGGGACCAAT